TCCCAATATGTTTTATTATTATTATTATCTAAATAATATCCATTGTATTAGCCATCATGTTTTTTAACTAGTTTAATTTAATGTGATATCTATCTGCACTACTGAATATTTGGCCACAACGTTTTCTCTACGTTCAGTTCTTGAAATACTTAGAATTCCGATAGTTCTGAAGTTTCGTTTAAAAAACAACAACAACACTAAATGTTCCATATTTCTGAATCTGACGTTCGGTAGTTGTTATTATAAATCTGAAATTCGTAGCTAAGCCTAAACACAGCATCTCACACAAGCCCATAACCATACATTTGTTCCTTCTTCAATGCTAGATTACGTTTAAACCGCCTTTTTTTGTCCTACGCACGAACTACAAAACAACGATTTTTTTTTGTTTGTTTGGGGGAGATGGGTGTGTGTGTGTGTTCAGAAGTCCAAAAATCCGTTAGAAACAGAAAGGGATTAAAGAGAAAAAGAGTGATAATTGTCATAGTCAATGAGCTGGTATCAATATATTTTATTAATTGTTATTATTATATATAATGCGCGAGGGGTCACTAAACAATACTTTAGAAATTCAGAGTCTTTATTCTAAAGTGAAATAAGATTTATATATTTGCCGCTCTATATTATGCAATTTTGAAACATTATCCATGCTGCATGCAGTTCTGCGTGACACAGTTTAAACGTTCTATACTAGTGTGACATTAAGCCTTTTACAGCGGCTGAGCTCTTATAAATTTTATTTAATAGCAGTCAGACGATGTTACATGCCCGATAAAGATCCTCCCTCTGGTGATAAAAAAAGATTTAGCAGGAATATATAGAATTATTTTTTATTTTTTTTGTTATTAATGTAACCGCGATACAACAGCTGAAACACAAAGTAGGATTAAAAAGCAGACTTAAATTTAAAAAATTACAAAATAAAATCGTGTAATTTATAAGTCAGGTATTCAAAACATAAAAGCAACTGTAGACTGAGAAATCATTGCAGTTTTAAAGTACATTGTTAGCGAAGAAATCACTGCATTTGTAAAGTACGTTGTTAGCGAAATAATCACTGCAGTTTTAAATTACATTGTTAGCAAAGAAATCATTGCAGTTTTAAAGTACATTGTTAGCGAATAAATCATTGTAGTTGTAAAGTACATTGTTAGCGAAGAAATCATTGCAGTTTTAAAGTTGGTCGTTAGACGTTGTGTTGTGTATTGTATGAACGTTTCTAAGGTAGTAAATATTGCTAACTGGGAGAATTCTTGAGTAAGAGTAAAAAAGGCATGTTATACTAATATAATACAAGATTTATAAGCATAAGGAAAAGTTTTATTGATGGTGGAAC